CCTTTCTTTTCTTTCAACACTACCTTGAGAAATCCTCTCCTACTTAGCTGTGTATGTACAAGTTTGTCAGTGACACATTTGCTCCATTTCCCTTCTCAGGTTTTTCAGAGGCGGAACACTGGGCAGCTGGACTTCTTCAAGCGTTGGCGGAGCTACGTGGAAGGCTTTGGAGACCCTTTGAGGGAGTTCTGGCTTGGTATGATTTCTAAGAATTTAAAAGGGCTGGGTTTCGAAGAGTGACTTCTCCCCTTGTAAAGCTAGCCAGCCAGCTTGAGGAAGCTCCGGGCATCCACGGGGAGACTTACATGGCCCTTCTGATGAACCTGCAGACCCGGGTGCTTGTGGGGCTCCATTGCCGGGAAAGTTCTCGTGAGCTTGGTCCTGTGAAAAGATGAGGCTTACAAGATATTTTTTTCTCCTCTCTCTCAATGTACGTGACCAGGAGGGACCTGTCCTTGGAAAAGGACATCGTGCTTGGAAGGGTGAGGGACAGTGTGGGAGAGGAAACCCCAGATGAGGTGGATTGATACAGTAACTGGGGCAATGGGGGTGGGTGTTTCAATGAGACTGGCTCAGGGCAGGGCAGGCTTCAGGGCTATTGTACCTAGGGTCTCTGTGAGTCACAGGCAACTCGACAGTACATAACAACAACAACGTGTGCTGGATATAACCCTGCAGGATCTTCCTGGAGCCTGAATTTGCAAACAACATTAGTGGAAAGGATATAATTGATTTGGATCCTATGATGTGATCACAGGGTAATTCCAGTCATCTCTGAAATTCTGCTGTTAATTCCATTCATTACGGGCACTGTCTTTTGCATTATCCTGATGCTCTATTCTGGAACAGATGCTCCCAGAGATGGAAATAGCCAAAAAGACCAACTGGGAAATGAGAAATTAAAAAGACATAAACTGGATACTTGGGCACTGAGTTAAGGATGTTTGTAGTTTTCTTGGTATGAAATCCTCTTCGGAATGAGTAGTTACTGTTTTCTTCTACTTGATGAGATAAGTAGATGATGCAGAGATCTGCTTCTTTAGAGAGCTGGAGTCCGTGGAGTCAGGCTCCTCCCAGGACTACCTGCCCTAAGCCCGTCTCGGGATGTGGCTGACCTGCACATGAGCATGCCTGTGGCAAAGAAATGTAGAATGTGACACTGAGCCCCACGCCCAAAGAGGAAGTATTGGGGAGCCTCCTCATTCACAGAAGCAGTTAAAGGCTAACGTGACTTTGGGCTTGGAAAGTTAGGGTACAGATGATGAGTGTCCACACACTTGGCTCATTAGTTAGTGGAATGCTGTTCACTATTTTTAGGACTCGACAAGCTGCACAACCTCACCACTGGCTCCCCAACTCGGTACGAGGTGAGAGTGGATCTGCAGACCGCCAATGAGTCCGCCTATGCTCTCTATGACTTCTTCCAAGTGGCCTCCAGCAAGGAGCGGTATAAGTTAACCGTAGGGAAATACAGAGGCACAGCAGGTAAGAAAATATGTTTTCTTACTACCAGAGTCTCTTGCTGTGTGTCTAAGGAGTGTTTTACTACATACCATGGATCTAGGGGTGGGATACTGTTCTGTGGAGGTGAATTGTCCACACTGACAAAGGAGGGCTTTCTTCTGGCAGGAGGCGGGGTGAGAGACCTGGGCAAGACAATCCCTGACCACCAATCAGAGAAGTAGAGCACTGCACATCCTTGATGCCTCCTAAAAAAAATAAAAAATAAAAAAATGGGACGATAAAGAAGGACCAATTCTTATTCTCCACAGATTCAGACTGTTGCACAATAGCCATTAGCCCCAGGTTCAGGGCTTGTGTGCCTGGTGCCTGCCAGTCTTTCTGTCAGCCTGCTCTGTGTGTTACTGCGATTTGGTCTCCACAGCAGAGTATGTTATTATTTAAGTTATTATTTCATGGCCTTTTGCCATAATGAAGATAGAAAAATGAAAGTGCTGATTCAAATAATAAGAAATTTAAGTCTCATTAACTTAATACAACTGTGACAACACAAGAATTAGCAATTGAGCCCGAAGCGGGAATCTTTAGACTTGATTAGCTGCTCATTGGATTTAAGCCAGTTGATGGTGTGCTCAGTCGTGAGGGAAAAGAACAAAATTAATGAACTGAAGTAGTAGAATTATACCATTGACTATTTTATCTTAGAGGGAAGGTGTGGTTAATATAATATATTAGATAGAAAACCTAACAGGTCAGTCTGTGGTTTGACTTTTGTATGTTTTGGGATAACGGTATGCACTGCAAGCAAAAGTTGACCGACTATATAAGACCTAGTTTTAGACTCATATGTAATAGATGAAAAAGAATGTAACTTAAAAAAAAAGAGCCAAATTTGTGTTAAGGAAAATAATGAGGAGTGTGGAGAAGAACGGTGATATTGAGGACTGGGGCAACTGAAAGATGTTTCTTAAAAGACAGAGAAGCTGGTCTTTCCAGAAATAGATTACTAGGCCTTTCTTCCCTGGTACATCTGGGTGGATATGAACTTGCAACTTTTGGTTAGTAGCTGAGTATATTCATCATTCGTAGTACAAGATAAAACAAGAAAGTCCCGACACAGAACAGAGATGTTTAAAACACCACTGAGACATAGTTGGATAGTCACATAGGATATTAATTGAAGATTAAGGAGCTCAAGAGTGCCATTTTATGGGACTGTGTGCTTAGTCTTTTTCTATGTCTAAATAAAATTGTACAACATTCTCAATAGCTGGTTCTGGGATCTCCTGACTCTTTTGTGTAATAGGCTGCGACATCCTACTCTCCCTAGGTCCCCTCAGTTGTCCACTTGCACTGATCTTGGCCACAGGGAACATGTCTGTCATCCTTTTTGTTTCTGTTCTTTGCTGTGCTGTCGGTTGGCTCTCTGCCTTTCCTCCTTAAGCTAGAATCCCGTTCTTCATAGGCCCATTCCTAGGGCCTTCTCTAGAGTGAAGTTGAGGGGTTTCCCTTTGGCAGGTAAGACCCACCCCTGTCCACAACACCTGGTGGTCACCTCACTGGGTCCTCACTCAGACATGCTCTCCCAGGCAGTGTCATTGGGCTGTCCCCTCCCCTTTCCTGCACAATTGAGTGTTACCATTTCTGAGGTCCATTTTGAGACAACCCAGTTAATGAACTGAGGCTTATGTGAAAGTGGGTACAAGGAATCAGCATGTCTATGACTTAATGTGATTCCACATTTGCATTTTAACTATCACCAGGGATAATTCTTCTTTTACGGCTGTTCAGGTCAGCAGGCCAGTGGAGGCTGTGTTTTTTAATAGGCGGCCTTGGGAGATGCTCAGCTCACACAGCAGTTAGGTAGTGATCTGGGCTTCCCCCGTGTTGTCTCACCCTCTGTATGATCCCAGAGGAGGCTCACCTGTCCGTGGACATGCTGCGTGGGGCCTGAGGAAAGTGCGGGATTTCAGGGGCTCCTGGCTGCTGTATCCTAAGTGAGGCAATAATGGTTGGAGGACACGGTGTTCTGGCGAAGTGAGCCGTCCGATAGCTGCATGTGCCAGCTTGTCTCAGCTTTTGGTTTTTCCATTTAAAGAGTTAAACTGCCTTTTCTTTTTTATTATAGTGGGGGGGGAAAGACATATAATTTAGATATTATATAAATAATGCCTATTATAATGATATAAACAGACATTTACATAGCAATCTTAAATTATACTTATAATAGATCTTTTATTGTGATTATATACTCTAAAATAAACATTTATGTATCATTTATATACATTATATATTTACTTAAAATATATTTAAAAATATATTTTCTTATGATAATATTTATTTACATATAAGACAAAAATACATATATGTTTACATATATTTGTAAATATATGTAAGAACACATTTTCCATCTCATCATTCAGTGACATGACATATTAGCTCTTCATTATGCTGTGCAACCATCACCAGAACTCATTTAAAAATGTTTTCATTACTCTTAACAGATGCTCAGAGTCTATTGGGCAGTCATTTCCTCTTTGCCCTCTTTCCTTTCTGTGGTAACCTTTGGCCTCTAAACACTTGCCAAATATCTAGATATTTCATACAGATAGCTAGAAAGTTCCTATTTGTGGGATCATAAAATGTCTGCCCTTTTGAAGCTGACTTACGTCACTCAGTATAACGTGCTCAAGACTCACTTGTGCTGCAGCACGTATGAGAATTCCATTCCTCTTTGTGGCAGAGTAATAGTCCCCTGTTGGGATATACCACATCTTGTTTATCTGTGGACGGGGCTGTTTGTTAAGAGGATATTTGGATTGTCTCTACCCCTCCTCAGCTTCTGATTGTTCACAGCTTCTTCAGTTTGCATGCCTCCGCGGTCAACACTCTTGGCACCAGTAGCCAGGAAATTAAAAAAACATATTGCAGTGGGAAAGGCTGCTGTTAGGGACCTCTCTAAAGTACTCAAGAGCAACTGTGTCTCTCTGGAGACTAAGATGCACCTGATACAGGCCATAGTCTTTGCAATCACTTGTTATGCATCAGAGAGTTGGACAATGACTAGGGAAGATAGAAGGAGAATTGATGCCTTTGAGCTGTGGTGCTGGAGAAGAGTATTGAATGTACCATGGACTGCTAAGAAAGCAAACAGATTCATCCTGGAGAGGGTTAAGCCAGGCTACTCCTTGGAGGCAAGGATTCTGGGGCTTTGTCTGACATACTTTGGACATGTTGTAAGGAGAGATAGGTCCTTGGAGAGGGACATCATGCTTGGGAGGGTGGAGGGACAGTGTAGGAGGGGAAGACCCTCTATGAGGTGGATTGATTCAGTGACTGGGATAATCAGGATGGGTGTGTCAGAGGCAGTGCGATCGGCACAGTATAGAGCAGGGTTTAGGGCTGTTGTACATAGGGTCACTATGAGTTGCAAGTGACTCGACAGCACATCATAACAACAACTGACTGATCTGGAGAGAGCCAGAGGTTGGGGGAAATTGCTGGTTTGAGACTTCCCTGTGACTCAGTCCATCAAGGTGGATACTCACCTTCTATTTTCTCTAAAGTCATATCAGAAACCCACTGTGCCATCATGAGGGAAATCCAGCCCAGGGGAGGGGTGGAAGGTAGTTTTGGATTCTGAGTCCTCGAATGATGGGGAGATGGCCGGGGAGCATCAAGATGTTATCCATCCTTTTAGGGATTATTAAAAAAGAAATAAATGTAGATTTCAGAAATGAGTATTGTGCAGGATGAAGTCTATGGGCTAATCATTTACTTTCATCTGATTTTGAGTTCTCCTGAAAGGGGACTTTGTGAACATTTGGAAATGAGACAAGAAGCCACTACCCATATTTATCGGGTGGGACCAGGGATGCCAAATATCAGCAGTAAAGAACATTTCTACCCCAAATGACAGTGTCTTTCTTATTTTGAAGTGGATTTTTTTAAGTGGATTTTTAAAGCCTGGTTCTTAAAAAAAGAGGAGGAAAATGAAAAATTAATGTGTACCTGGGAAAAAGAGAAAGTCAGACAGAGCTGGCACAGATCATTCAATCTTTTTTCCCCTCTTCCTTAGACCTGATCTCAGGGCAGAAGACATTGAGGGTCCAGGCACAGGGACCTGGGCCTATGTTAGGACGTTAGTGGGTTAATGGTGTTGGATCTTCATCATTGCTGTCCGAGGGAGTGCCCTCGGAAGGGAATGGGGTTTTGATGAGCGATCCTACAAGGACTAAGGCATTTCTGAGGCTGTAAATCTCATAGAAGGAGATTGCCCGTCTTTCTCTCAGGGAGCTTCTGGTGGATTCAAATTACTAGAGAGGTAGCACCTTTGAGTTGGCAGTGCAACTTCCTACAGACTGTGCCACCAGAGTCCTTCTGCTTTTGCTAGGGGAGAGTAAAGGAGCAGCTGTTAGAGCAAACAGAGTCAGAAAGGCAATCGGGACCTACCCTTTACATCATGTGTCAGCTCTTTATATATCTGCTCCTCTTCATCCTGAATCTCAGGCCAGGCTCTTCTCAATCACCTGCTGTGCATCAGAGAGCTAGACAATGAATAAGGATGACAGAAGAAGAATTGATGCCTTTGAATTGTGGTGCTGAAGAGCAATGAACACCCATGGACTGCCAAAACCCAAACAGATATTTAAGTCTTGTAAAGAGTGCAGCCAGAGTACTCCTTGGAGGCAAAAATGCTTTGGTCATGTAGCTAGGCAAGGCTTTTCCTTGGAAAGGGACATCATGCTTGGAAAGATGGAGGGTCAGTGAAGGCGAGGAAGACCTCCAATAAGATGAATTGGCACAGTGACATCAGCCATCAGTTCTAGTGAGGCAGAGATGATGAGGATGGCACAGGATAGGGCAGGGTTCAGGTTGGCTGTTGATAAGGTCACTGTGAATCATATTCAACTCAACAACACCTAACACCACCACCACCACCACCTCACTCCAGCTAAGTTCTTGAGCAAGAATCTCCTCATTTTGTATCCCCTAGCTGATAGTACATTCTGCAGAGGG